GGGGGTCCATGAAGTGGAAGGCGAGCAGGTCGCGCACGCCGAGGGACTTGAGCAGCAGCACGGTGTTGGCGAGGTTGGTGCGCTGTATCTCAGGCACGGTGGCGGGCAGCAGCTCGTGCGTGTACTGTCGCTGCGTGTAGAGGCAGAAGGCCTTGCCGGGTCCCGTGCGGCCGGCGCGACCCGCTCTCTGCCGCGCGTTCGCCTGGCTCACCGGGTAGATCTTAAACAGAGATTTACATTTTTTTTTCTCGAAGACCATGCAGAATAGTACTCCAAAGACGGCAGGTGCATTTCCAGGAATCTGAATTGAGAAATCACTGATCTAACAACACATGACTTGAGATACAGACTTAAGACACAGCTAATGTGTCAGATGGCAGACTGTACTGACCTGAAGGGCGTCCATGCCGATCCTAGGGTTGTACACCTTCAGCTTGCAGTAGCCGCAGTCAATCACGTACATGATGCCATCAACAGTCAGCGATGTCTCTGTAATACAAGCGACAAGAATTACAGCGATCTTCCTACATTTTGCAAGACGCTTCTTTATTGATCCTTCTAAAGATAGGTCAAGACAAATAGTAAAAAACACATATTTTTGCAGAATTTATTGTTTATCCCCCCTGGCCAGTCAGTGTACCTGCGATGTTAGTGGCAACGATGCACTTCCTCTGTCCCGGAGGCGCGCGCTGGAATATCTTGGCCTGCAGGTCTGCGGGCAGCTGAGAGTAGATCGGCAGCACAGTCAGCGGCGGCGCGTTGTCCAGCTCGCCCAGACGATCCGTCAACACCTGCACACGATGACATTGAAACAATGTTGACAAGCTGGCAATAAGAACAAAGGATGTTCTTTTAAAAGGATTGTACCTCACAAGTAACTTCGATATCTTCTTGACCCGGCATAAACACCAGTATATCTCCGTCATCAGGCTGTAGATGGATTTGAAGAGCCTGCAAAACATAAATAAATCTTCTAGCTTACTAATCTTACTAATATTATAAACAAAAATATTTAGATGGGTGGATGGATGTTTAAAGGTATCTCCAGTATAGCAACATGAATCTCGCTGAAATTTGGCAAAGAGGAAGAACATAGTGTGGAAGAACACATAGGCTTTAAATTAAGTTTTGTTTTAATTCCGCGCGGATGGAATCACGCGCGATAGCTAGTACATATATAAAGAGCCAATTTACTTTAATAAAACATCTTAATATACCTAAGTGAAAATGTTCTATTTGCATATTTAAACGGTTAGCCGCTTTTTCCAAAAGGTCAGTATAACGAGGTTATCGGATCGATTCTGATTTGAATAGGTTGGATTTTGGTGTTGACGTCGGAATACTAACATAATCTATTTTATTCATATCATGGGTTTCCACTGCCGAAACAGTTGTATAAAAACATATCTTTACATCTTTTCAATGACAATAAGGGGAATTTGGGGGGGGGGGGGGGTTGGGAACTCGCACTTCCATATTACTTAGGACAAAAATAGACAAAAAGTTTTTTCCGTGTGTATATCGAATGGGAAATTTTATATTTTTCTTAAATGATTTTTCTTTTTTACACGTTAAACGCCACTCCAGTCACTGGTGACCGGATCCCTGCCTGCATGTAAGCGCCACGTAGGGCACCTGTGGCCTTATGTAGTTTTTTTTATATCTGCAGAATCCAGCTTCTGATTAAACCCTAAACAAGATATATTTTGTAGATACGACATTACGCATCTATTTCGAGCAAAAAGTTTTTTAGTGATTTTTTCTATTTCTACTATTGCGTTTAATGTGCTAATAAAAGTAATCCAGTGCAAATTGCTCCAGATGTAATTTTGTTCAATTTATTATAACAGAAGTGTAGTGACGAGTTAACAGGCACTTTACTAATGAAGTCACGTCGTAATGACTGGACCACACCAGGTGTCACTCGACTCAATTGTCACGTACAAAACAAGTCGTGTGAAGAATGCCATTGATTGTAGTTCACTTTTTATATAGATCTATAGTATACTAGCTGTCGCCCGCAACTCCGTCCGCGCGGGATTAAAAATAGATGTTGGCCGATTCTCAGACCTACTAAATATGTTAACAAAATTTCATGAGAATCGGTCAAGCCGTTTCGGAGGAGTATGGGAACGAAAATTGTGACGATAATTTATATATATTACAAGCGGACCCGACAGACGTTGTCCTGTCTACACGTCTTTAATTTGAATAAATTAATATGAAGTTAATATTTAATGAAAATTGTGAATCTAAACCATTCCGAGATCCCCTTGAACACACACAAAAAATTTCATCAAAATCGGTCCAGTCGTTTGAGAGAAGTTCAGTGACACACACACTCACAGAAGAATTATATATAAAGATTTATAATTGGATCGTATGATACATGTTGAGAAAAGCAATAACTTTGATATTTTTGATGTCGTCAAAAAGTTACTATTTGTTGCAGATACATACGGAACCTTTTTGCACTTCTTTTTACTTTTAATTTTTATATTTAGAACATTATTTCTTCCTTTTTCCATTCAAAAATTGCAGTTGTAAATATATCAATCAAACAGTTCGTGGTAATCCTTTTCCTTTCCTTCATTTTATAATGTTTTCATTTTCTCTTTTAACTTTATTATAATATTTTCCAAAGTTTATCTAAATCCGACCGTTCGTTTCCTTCTTCCTTACTATTATTATTTGATTCTTATGTAGAAGGTTAAAAAGCTATTTTCAGAACGTTTTATTTGTGGATTTGTAGTACTACAGGGCAAATCTTACTAATATTATAAGTGCGAAAGTTTAGATGAATGGATGTTTGTTTGCAGATATCTCTGGAACGGCTGAACGGACCTTGATGAAATTTGGCACAGATATTGAACATAGTTTTAAAAACAGACTACTTAATACTTACTATTAAGTTTTATTAATTGCGCGCGGACAGTGTCGCGACCGATTACCAGTAGTTTTATAATTTTTATATTTTTAGCTCTGTCAAAAGTAATTATTAAGTATTTTATAACGACATTTAGTTACTACACTTATCTCATACTTGTGAACCGTAACGAAGTCACGTCTACGTATCCGAATGAAATTGATTTCTCGTGTAATTAAATTTCGCGTTTTCTGAACTCAGGTCATTGACTTTAGCAAGGCTTTTTTTTACAGTATGTTGATAAAACTATATCGGTAGTTAATATTGACTAGTTATTGCTGGCACACTGTTAAAATTAAGCTAATATGAGTAATTTATCTAATGGGAGTTACATTTGAATCATAGAATATACATGAATTTAATTAATCATATCGTTTATTTTTATGTGGTCCATAACTTTTTTTTTATATCATAAGGTGGTAAACGAGCGAGCGGCCACCTGAAATCGCTGAAATAGCGAAGTAACCGTTGCCCATGACATACGCAATTGCATATGCGTTGCCTACCTTTAATCGATAGAGGAGAGGATGCACAGAAAGAAAATATTTTCCCTTCCCTTGCATCCTCTCATCCGGAAAGTCCACTTCCACTTCCCATCCTTTCCTTATAAAAGGGTGGGAAGGGAAAGAGGACTAAATTACGCCTCCGGGACGCACACTCATCAGACGAAACGCGGGATAGCTTCCACTTGACGCCTGTCTTCTGTATGGTCGTGGTATTTCACCTGGCGAGCCGGGACAATTCGTGCGAACATGTTAAAGCGGGCTCTACCACTGTATCCACTACATCACAGATACTTGATTCTATTTTTAAATTGAATATGTTTCTTATAATGACATGAATGTGATACTAATATGTATCTTACTAATATAAAAGATTTAGATGGATAGACGGATGGATGTTTGTTACCAGAACGGCTGCATGAATCTTGCTAAAATTTAGCATATAAATGAACACCATAGCGTACAGTTTTTTATGCGTGGACAAGGTTGCGTGCGACAGCTAGTTTTCTCATAAATTAGAAATTTACGATGAAACAAATACGTACTAATAAATCGTATAAAGTTCAATACTCTTATAATTAATTTATACGAATAGTTAACCTCTTTACAATAATCGTGCAACACGTATCCACGCGTTGTGACCGTGACAATATCTGGTTATAAGTGGAAATATCCAGAAATATGTAAACAGTATCATTTTTCTCCATCAGTTCTGAACAAGTTGCAGTTGGTTAGTATCAGATATGGACAAGGAAGGTAATTAAATAATTAGATACACTAGAAAGGGATATCCGGATAGTTATGTCGACATTACGTATGGTTTAGAACGTGATATTTCATCTTAGGTTTACACGGTTGTGAATTACTTAATCACAAGTTCACAATCAACTTACGAATGTAACTATTTTTTTACCATGAAATTGCACTGTTAAGCTAATTCCTAAACCTTTAAAAAAATCTTTTTTTATATGTTTCCATAGAGATAGAAATGTTTCTTTAGTAAATAGACAGATCGCTAGATTGATCATTTTAGCATATCTTAAATGTTGTTAGGTTTTAGATTACTTTAAATTTAAATGGTATTTAAAACGATCTGAGTTTGAAGTCAAGTTCTTAATGCGTGAGGATTTACCGTGGGTTTCAGAGTCCAAAATCTCTATATAAATCATATCGTCAATATTTTTGACAAAACAGACATGACAATATGTTTTAAACATGGATTTTAGTATCAGAAACCCACGGTTAAGCTCTAAATAGAATCATAGGAATTTACGTAACAAAATCGAGATTTTTTTCCATGGATATCTTTCCCAGACTTTACCTCTAGTAGAATCTTAGTTCACAATATTACGTAACTAGTCAGTTAAAACACAATAGGTGCAGTAGACGAATAAATTACACAAAACATAAATACAGGATGTCAATTAGAGATATGAATAATATTAATTAATTAGAATATAGAACTTTATAGAACTATGAATATGTACTAAAATACAATACCTAGGATCAAGTTACGTACAGTCTAGCCTAGACGGTGGCATTCTTAGGCCAGTTTGTTGGTGACACAGTGTACAATAAACAGTAAGCTATTTGCGAAATAAATTGTTTCTGAAAGTGCAAGAGTTGAATTTTATCAAATGGTATTGATGCACAGATGAAAAGTTGCTAGTACGTTATGAATAACGGTTACATGAGAATGTAACCAGTAAGGTATTAAAAAATCCTACAATATTCCAAGGAAAAATACGAATCGCTTGTTACTGGAGACTTTAAAGTGGTTCAATGCAAAACAACATTGGGCTTAGTACGAATATTTGACAATCGCCATTGCATCGTCATGTATAAAAACTGTATTAAAATTTGTTCAGCACACATATGAGATGTAAAGTACACCAAAAAATCTCATACTATGTTTGACATAATTGACGATGACGATACGAAGGCGCTTGTCACAAATATTCGAGCTCAGCCCACATGAGGTGATGTACCAGTCAAAAAAATCAGGCTAGTTGGGGGAGACCTATGCCATTGGGCATCTCATGGTTTAACAAGCAAGCAAGCAAGGCTCTTGTCAATTGGGCAAAAATAGTTCTTCTATGCCAAACTTTCCCTTGTGGGCGCTGCAGGTCTCAAGTTGCGGGTTATAGTAAAAGTTTCGTTTAGAAGTCTCCGTTAATATACATATATAGGTTACAATAATTAATTAATTTAATTTGAAGTTATAGTGGTTTTTAAATATGTGAAAATATGGGGGCGCTAAAAAAATATTTATTCACAAAGTGGGCAGTAGACAAAATAAGTTTGGGAACCACTGTTCTATGCTGTCTTTCTAAATTGGTATAATGTGTAAAAAATACTGGCCAGCAATAATATTCATTAGTCACGACATTAATATGAAAATATCAAATCATAGCTTATGACGTAAGCAGAGATGTAGGTATACAGATAAGAATGATTGCCAGCATTCACGTAAATTTTAATGTCAATATAGTTCTTTATTTAAAAAACATATGATAAATCAATTACAATGATATTCAATTAATGTACAAGATTTTATATCTTGTTCTTTGAATTATTTCTTAACGCAATTAATCAGTGTAGCAATATGATATATTATTGATAAAATAATTATTACGTATTAACATTTTCAAGTTAATGTTGACGATATTGGCATTTTAAGAATGAGTAAGACGTCAAGCCTACCCTAAATTTGCGGTTCACCACGCTAACACATTGCCGATTGGTTGACGTCACAAAAATCTTTGATTCTCGCTGATATGTGCACAGATAGGTTACACCACGATGTTTTCCTTCACCGTAAGATCAGATAAATGATTACGATATCGATCAAGTGGTACTGCTGTATTGTCGTAGTCTGTGGTCAGTGTCAACGAACTGCGCTCTCCGACCGCTTTACTACGCCGATACGCAATTCACTAGTTTCTAATAATCTCCAATATACTGTGACTAGACTCGTGTTATTTGATGTACTTGAAGAAACTAATTTTGTAGGTTCCCAGGATAAGGTTTCCATTATTTTTGCATACTACGAAGCAAACGTATAGATCTATAGATGCCGCCCGCGATTCCGTTCTATGTGCCTATGTTTTATTCCAGACTGTTTGCCACATCTACGCCAAATTTACCGAGATCTGTTAAGCCGTTCTGGAGATACCTTCTAACATCCATCCATCTAAAAATTCGCATTTATAATATAAGATATTAAGTAAGAAGTAAGGTAGTAAGATAGATGTAGAAGGTTAACGAGCGTGTCGATAGGAACTATAAGATTGCACACTAAGCCTTATTTTAGTGATTCATATTCTATAAATTCAATCGGCAATGTATGCCTTACAAAACTAATTATCAATTGTCTCAACTTTTAAAGCTAGAATGAGAGAGATAGAGGTAGTGCAAACGGTGTCTACCAACCTGTTTAACAGCGCCATCTACATAGTCCTCACAGACGTTCTTAGAGAAGAATGTCTCAACGGGAAAGGTACGGCCTGGGATGGTAAAGGTGGGCACGTTGCCAAAGAACGAGGAGAACTTGGTGGAGTCCATGGTGGCTGACGTCACGATCAGCTTCAGGTCCGAGCGACGGGCAACGACCTGAAAAAAGCACAAAAAAAATTATTCCAAGTTACTTCTTCGTCTACGTCTACTGACTTTATTAATTTAAATAATCGACGCATTCTAGAGTCGTAGTCTTACTTATTGAAGTTTTAACATGAGCGACACTATACGACATCTCTTAGTGACCAATTAAAGAGTCGACTCTGAGTACCGCTGGTAGTGTATAGATTTGATCATAAGTAGAATTGATTTTGACTGGTTTACGATAAATATGGAATTAAAATAGTTTACAGTTTCGGCACAACTGCAGATTTTTTAAAGTAGAATTTAAAGAACTATTTAACGAACTTGCGTATTATGGATTTTTTTGCCAATCTCAAGTTTTTAGTAACATTAAGATCTTGTATCACAAATGAACGGGAAATCGAGTAAACTCAAGGACAAACATTGTTATAAATCTATTGAATTGTGTTTTTGCGACAAAAATACTTTTTTTTTACAGTAAATGTAAAAAGTTTTTATTACAATGAGATAAATTATATAAACACAATGCAAAAGTAAACTGACGAGTTTATAATATTTTTTTCTAGGATACATCCCTTATCGTGGGTTTCTGAGACCAAAATCCCCGTTTAAAACATATTATTATTCTTGTTTTGTCAAATATAATGTCTGGGATGACGATACGGTTAATACAAATTTTGGTCTCAGAAACCAACGGTTAGTCGTGAGACTATATACTTTTTTATTTATCATTATTGATTATTGATTATTGATGGTTGGAAAGTATTCATTTATTCGATTACATAACTTATAGACATTCACTGATACGTAACAATTCCAATTTATAACCACTATAAATATACAGTCAGTCGCTTATCTTTTTCTACACGTTTTTGTCCAGAGAACCGAGAAATTAAATTACACCCTTATATTACATTTAGGTTTTTACACAAAATGTATATTAAGATTCGATTCCATTCCGTTTACTTAGAGGCGCTAGACCACACTCGTTTGCGAAATAAAAAAAAGCCTTACAAAAACCCGGACACCGTTTATTTTGGTGGGATACGCAATCAAAAAGCCTAATTATATCCGACTTTATCCGGACGCGTGGCAACCCTATCTCCAGATAACACAATGAAGAGGCCTAGTGTCAAAATGTTTTCCAATCCTTTATTTTATACTAATGATTTAAGAAAAATAAATGTGTACACTATAAATAACATTTACAAATAACTCGGGACAAAGTTTAACCAAGCGATAAAGGACGTGTTATTGTAAACAAGCTTTCATTGTGTCTGCAAACTCTTTATCTTCCCAAACGTCCGGGTTCATACGGGAACATATCCATAACAAGGAAACCAGTAAACAAACAACAATGCAAAATTATTTTTATATTCGACTTCCTAACAAATATATTGAAAAAATCTTGTATTAATTATTTTAACTTACAAGATGCGATATTGTTTATTGGTTTAGCGTTAATCGATTGAAGTCGGGACGTGTTGGTAGTATATGTTAGTCACTCCATACCATCAGGTTGGGGCACGTGTCTCAGTAATAAACACACGCGCTGCGCTGTCAACAAGTAAACCGGCCGACATTGACCGATAAATCGGACTTTGAATCAGAATATCACACATGTTATTTGTGACCCTTTGTGTACCGAGGGCACAGAGATTTTAACCTTTCTATTTAAAGACGATGAAAAGGTTCATACGTATCAAGTTTTATTGGAACTTTTGCACTTTTGTCTCCGATTGTACATACCTGCAAGGACACTGGTGCACAAAAGTGTGAATATTTTTTCTGCAAGGACACTGGTGCACAAAAATGTTTAATATTATTTCTGCAAGGACACTGGCGCACAAAAGTGTTTAAAAATTTTACTACAAGGACACTGGTGCATAAAAGTGTTTAATACTTTTACTACAAGGACACTGGTGCACAAAAGTGTTTAATATTTTTTCCATTAACTGATTCCACAGATTATATTTTTTTACTGTGACTTAATGGCATTAAGTAGTCTGTAGTGTTATTACTATGGACGCCGTCGCGTCGTCGGACGTCTAAATAGTCCAAAGACATCGCAGTGAAATAATGCGGCAAACTTATGTTGCACATAAATAGAAGCGATATGTGATAAAACGTTTCTGTCTAGACACCATCATTGTGTAGTCACAGACGGTCAAATAGGTATTTCTTATTTCTACAATATTTTTAATTTTTTTTGTAAAAAAAAAATAAATAACTACAATAATCATTAGAATTTATTTCACATTAGTAATATATACTCCACGCTATGTATATGTACTGTATTATATAAGCGACCTCAAGCCACAAGCTGGGTCAGGGAGACCCTTGCATACTTTGTATTCATACCGAACATATTGTTACGACTAATCCATTCCAATCCATTATTTTTGGTATTACTATGTAAGTAACGATTTGCTAAAATTTACTAAATTAATTGACCTTTTTTTAAAAACCAGAGCAACAATATCAAATACTCATTAATTTAAAAACATGAACAGAACAAACAAAAAACCGGTTGTCTATTTTTACTACGGATTCTTCGCATCGGGAATTTGAAGTGCGTCTAAAAATTCTTCCGATAGCCGTTATTACGTATTGTTTCGTGTTATATCAAGGTCACAAGATGTATAGCGAGCAGCTGTCTAGACCACCGGCGCGGTACCGTAAGCAGAAAAAATTAACAATAAAAAAAATTGTGCATATCATAGATAGACGCGAAATCTTTAATATTAACTGAGCTCCTAGATTATATATTATATGGTTAAAAAATATTTTATAGCACCAATAATTATTTAGATAAAAAGGACGCAATTGGAAGACCAACAGACGATTTAAAGAAATTTTAATGAAAAAGGTGGTACTGTTGAGACGGACAGAGAAGTCATAAAGAGAAACCTCCAGAAGATAGGCTCAACTTAGAACTTATTCAATAAAATGTTAATATTAACAAATTGTACTTTTTTGCAGACTATACAATAAAAAACGTGGTCTGGACGAGCCCCCAGACCACGCTTGTTCGAAATTAAATCAGTTCGTCGTTAGTTCGTTATTCAAAAAAAGAAAGGCACCTCATTGGATAATTTTAAATTAGGAACGAAGTTGATAGCAGATGGCGGGACAAATCAGTGTGTAACGGTTTTTAGTATTTGTTACGCACTTTATAAAGTATTGATAATATATTCTGAATTTATTTAATGTTGCCAGTATTATTTCCATAGTATTACTAAAGAAAAGAAGCGCAACTTATGGCGATGAAGGTAAAAAACTGAACGAAAGTGGCTTTTCGGGTTTCATATTAGATTTTTCAGTAATGACATTATTGTTATTATAATCGATGCGTCTGCGATGGCGCTTGATGACGTCAGAGATGCGTCAACGGATGTCCAACTTCAGACCATCCTACACAATTCTGGCATCTCACATGGTAAGATGACGTCAGACCAATCACATGACCAAAAAAGCACGACTTAATGTAATCGATTTCACTACTTTAATAGTCAGAATTTAATAGTTGACTTTTTTATGAATTTTACAATTCATATTAACTTGTAAATACTTTCTTGTGTAAACTCAACAAGAAATATGTCTACTTTTCAAAGAACGAGAGAGAAGCAACAACAAAAGAAAGTCAAACAAACTGATTAAGTAGTCTTACTTAGTATAGATTTTACGCACTTAAACTACTAAAGGGCATCCTCAATGACCATTTAATACCGCAGAGTATGACAGACTTTGCTTAAAGAACAATAAGTAGTATGCTTCCGAGCATAACCACACACTTGCAGTATAATTTTTTTTTTATAACAGAAGGGGGCAAACGAGCTGCGGGAACACCGAGGTGTTCAACGACGCCCATGGACATCAGCAATACCAGAGGAACCGCAGATGCGTTGCCGGCCTTTGAGGTGGTGATAGGCTCGCTTCTTGAATTTACAGCAATAGAAATATCTATCGTGGTTCCTGATTGAATATGCGAGTGAATCTGTTTTATGCAGTTTGGTTACAGTTCGTCGGCTTTGAATTCCTATGCAGATTTTCAATTGTTACGTATCACTGCGCTTGTGACGTCACAATGACTTGCTATATAGATGTTACATTAGAAAATAATAAAATTCAATATGGATATAAAAATTTACAATTAGAAAGCTACAAATTATTTAAAGGTCTTGCATATAGGGAATTTCTAAACTTTCTCACGGCTGGCGCATAGGCGATATTCAAATATTTTGTTTTAAATATACACTGTCTATCGATCGAACAAGCGAGTTAGATAAATATTTGAGAATGAAAGTATAACATGAAAAATACGAATAACTAAGCTTTAAGAAATCATAAGAAATTCAATATTTAGGTATATTTTGGGCGGATTGACAAATTACATAGACATCAGGACATAGCAAAGAAATGAAGAGAAGGAAAAGCTAAGAAGAATTGCTTTCCTAACAACTAAACGTCTTGTTAAGTGTAGAATTAACAATCTGCCAAACACGTGGCATACTGGCCAGAACCTTTGCCTTTTTGATTATAAAAAAGATAGATGAAAACAGAGTGAGGATCGGGCGGGAAGTTAACAACCAGAGCTCCGAATAGTGCTCAATTATATAATATTGTAAATAGTTTTAATATAAGTATAAACAAAGAATTTTCAATTTATATACGTCATCTTCTTGATACCTGGTCAGAGATACAAAGATTTTGAAGGAGATATAAGAGCTGTTTTTTTTTTCAAATGAAACCAAACATCATGAATATTGATGTTTAGTTACGCGTTGACATATTCTTGCGCTGTTTATCTATGTATTTTTTTCTTTTTATTTATAATTGTTATGTGTTATATACTGTTATTATAAAATATGTTATCGTGTAAACTGTTATGTAAAGTGTGTATAGTGTCAAATTGGTTGTATACTGTAATGATGCTATGCAGTTTTTAAATAAATAAATAAATAAATCATGTGAGTTTTATTTACATAACAATGTGTAAATAGACATG